ACGGAGGCTGGGGGTGGATGATCGTTGCCGGCTGCTTCCTTGTCACCATCTGTACCAGGGCCGTGACGAGGTAAAGGGGCTGCTTCTTGTCCTTCTGACCTGTTTGCGGCATTACCCTCCCCCCCTTTTTCTTTTTTTTTAACCTCAGGAGGAGGATTTGGGAAGTCCCCTAACGTCCCATAGCTGCAAGGGTTACTCTGGCTAGTTACAAACTTCTCTCTTGCTACATTTTTAAAGGCTTCCTGAAATCTCCAAGAGTGTGGTGATGGCTGAGGGGTTACCAGCCCTCTGCTTTCAGTCTCGCCTCCTCTGACAGCTGTCCTATCTCACAACACCCTCTCCTTGATTTTTTTTTTTTTTCAGAATTGAAGCCTTGGGCAGGCAGCATTAGTTCAGGCTGTGGTGGTTTGGTTGGGGAGGGAGGAATCTTCAGGTCTGATGTGTCCCTCTGACCCCACAGCCGTGCTCCATTTTGCTAGTCCCAGTGGCTTTACTTGGCTCCTGAGTCTATCTGAGAAACCTGTAAATACCCCCTTATCCTACTGCAAACATTTCACGTACCATCATGCCTGAGAAGGCCCATGCCCTAAGGAAGAGGCCCCTCTCTATACCCTTCCGGTATCCAAAATATGCAGAACATATTTTTCTCAAAAAATACTTCTCAAAAATAGAAAGAACAGGAATAGACTGCTGCCTTGCATAAACATAATGTATACATCTGGGGTGAGTTGGCTTCCACAGCTGCTGTTGGGTGACTTTGATGTTGACTGGAGACAGAGGAGCCTGGTGTGTGTGAACATGGACATTTAAGCTATATTAAGCAGAGAGATAAGCACCCTGGTAAGTGAGGAACACTGAGACAGTGTCTTGTTGGACAGTCAGTATAATACAGTAAATACAGTGTTTCCTACCTAAATTTTAAATTTCTTTCAAAATAAAGCTGCCAGGTTTAGGGATCTAAAGTCTAGGGTCTTGGAGTCAACAGCATAAAAGGGGCATAGAAACGTTGACACAGTGTTAGTTAATGTATGCAAATGTACCAATTCTGTAGTAACAGCAGAGATTTCCTAGTGGATTTAATTCCTTTTTCAAGTGTGAAATGTGTTACATCCAAGAAATCATCTAATGGCTAGCACACATCTAGAGTATACACAAGAATGAAGTGTGTGCAAGATGAAAGCTGAAGAAAGTGGTGGTTTGTTGATTTGCAAGAGGAAAAAAGAGCGGTGGGAAAAGGGATCTCTTGCTGATCCAGAAACCAGAATGAAACTATGCAGCCTTTTAATCCGTTCCCCTGCAGAGATAGGTAGAATAGTAAACTCATTAAGCAGAGCAAAATAATAACCTCTCCTGGAAGCATTTTAATAAACTGTTGGAAGGTCCATGGACTCCTGCTGTATTTTGATTCTCTACTCATGAGGAGTTGCTTTTTACCTCCTTTGCACTTGTGCTTCCATGAACACACAGCTATAGGTGCTGTTGGCTCTATAGGGACTATGATGGCCTTGCCCTGCCAGTTTGTGCAGATGTGAATGCCACTGTTAGCAAGCAACCAGGTCAGTGAAGAACTGGGGATCTGGGGCTTTGTGTACCAGGGAAGCAACATCATGATGTGGGCTATACATTGCTGGTGATAATTACAACTTAAATTTCATTCCAGTTATAATTATTATGAGTTATAAATATCTAGCAGCAGATACCACAATGAGAGACATGTGGTATTATAATGTTCCTAATCTATCTGGAGTAGTTATCTGTCTGAATTAGGTTCTACATCAGCCTAATTGTCTAATCCCACTGTCGGGATAATAGTTGGACACCACTTTGTTATTTGGTTGTTGCTAGTGCAAAGCAAGGATTCTTCTCTGATTGAATCACCCTAGCCTAGGTGCTTTACACAGAGTCCTGTTGATTCAACTTGCACACATCATTTCATGTCTTGTCCCTCATGCGTTAAGGTAGCCCTTAATTTCTAGTATCCCTTAGAAACTGTTTAAAAATTTCTCCATCTCGTTGGGATTTAGGCAAATCACAGGGTTTATTTTCCTGGGAGCTGGAGAGGACCTTCAAGTGGATACTCTTTATATCTGAAGAGTGAGACCGGTGTTTTCTGTGAGGTAAATATTCCATGTTCAACAGATTGGTATTCATGTTTTCTTTCCTAGGTGCATCTCCATTTTTTTTGTGGAGTTCCAGGCATACTTTGGGCAGGATTATGCCAGAACGGCTTGGATCCACTCCATTGTCGACTGTGCTACGATGCTCTGTGGTGTGTATTACCCTTTTAAGACTAATGTGGCCGCTTTTTCTTCAGCTCCATCTGGTTTTAATGTGTTCGCAAGTTGGCGGAGTCAGCTGGGAAAGATAGATGCTGTGGGTTCTCTGGGGTATGGTATATCCAAGCTGCTTCCCCCAGCATAGTTGTACAAGAAGGGAGTGTCTTCATGCTATAGAAAAGACGCAGAACTTTGTTTTGTCAAATGATCTAAGTTTTCAGAAATGTACTTTTGTCTAGTGGGACAAATCGTGTTTGAGAGCTACTAACGGAGCACTTGTTTCTTTTGCCTTTTGATTGGAATCATATTTGAGACTTAGCACAGGATGTACATCTTGCCTTCAGATCAAGACACAGTCATCCTCCTTTTGGCAAACTTGTATGTTTACAAATGGTCTTTTCCCTTAAAAGAAAATTGAGTATTACTAAAAATGACACGCACCAATGCAGCAGTTGTACTGAATTTCTCATGGGTTTACTTTAAAACTGTATGGCTAGGTGAAAATCCATCCCCTAATCCTGTGGAAGAGAGTTAATCCATGAGAATTTCTATGAAGGCACAGGGACACAGCTGGAATGAGACATCTCCTGTGTCAGCCAGGTTCTATCTTGAGAAAAAAAAAAAAAAGAGAGAGAAATAAGGATAACGTTGCCCTGGCATTGCAAGTAGCAGAGAGGGAGAGGGCTGGTGATGCCACCCCATGTAGAGGCAGGGTGATCTGGGAATCATCAGCATTGGAGAACTGCAGGAGAGAGGTAGCAGCCCTGGAGATGGTCCAAAAGATGAGAGACCTTTCCTGTTTGGGTCTGACACAGACCCCACAAGGCCAGGGAGGAGCAAGGAAGGATGTCTGAAGCTACTGAGGGCTGAAGTGCAAATTCCAGGTGGGGGGAGGTCTCAGTGTTGTAAGCGTGAAGTAATGAACAGTGTGGGCTGTTGCTGTGGCCTCTCTTGACCCCAAAAACTGCAGAGTAGCTGTGTCCCATAATGACTTTGATCTACTAAAATGGCTGCTAAGAAAGCTACTTAAAATTTGGTTTATCCTCACTTTCAGGAAAATTATTTTCAGAAGTCTTTTAGTGCTCACACCATTGTGATAGAGAGGATATTGGAAGACCACTCTGTGTAGCTGTGATCACCATTTTCTCCTGCTTGCCTACTGCTTCCTTTTCCTTAATGACTGTTACAACAGACTGTGTCTGAGGACCTGCCATTAACTACCATCTTTGTTTGTTTCTCTGAAGCCCCACTTGGGAGTTTAATCAGTAATCATGTATCCTGCCAAGTTGGTATCATGCTAGGAGGCCTGCTTGCATCTACTGGGCTAATTTTGAGTTCATTCGCCACCAGCCTGGAACATCTCTACTTATCATTAGGAGTCCTTACAGGTAGGAGGCATTGAGCCCCTTTGTTCCTGCCAGGAAAACAGCACAGGAATGTTAAAAATTATGGTCTTTCCTTTCAAGAGGGATGATCTCTTCCCCCTGTCATATTGCCACCACACTGGTCTATAGTGATACTCAGACCTGTCCCCTTCATTGTAAAAGAGAGGCTTTGGCTGCTCCTGTGAGGGCTTCAGTACTCGGTGACTCTCAGACAGCCCAAACGCAGCGTGTTGCAAAAGCGACTCTAACTTCTGCTAGAGAGAGCACTATGGATAATGTTCTGAAATTACGGGAGGTGAGGAAGGACTCCTGTTGCAGGTGATACACAAAGATGTTTCCTTTTTGCCTGTGATTTGGGAGGAGTTTGTTATGGTGGGATTTCTAGACTGCCTGAAAATATTTGCATATTAAAAAAAAATAAAATTAAAAGAGTAAGTGGGCAGAGGAGCACTGGGTGAATACCTGGTGCCTCAGCCGTGCACCTCATTTTTGTCTGCATTACATTCCATTTGAAAAGCAAACAAATTGTTGGTTGGTAGTGTTGCTGTAGCAGCTCTTCCTTTTGCGTTCAGGTATGGTGGTTACAAATTCCTTTGCTCTGTCTTGTCTCCCCGTGTTTGCTCTGCACAGAGGAACTTGAGAGGTGCCCATGGTCACACTGACATTCCTTCCTCATTAATACTGACCTGGTAGCCACGGTGATATAAGCCCTTGTGCTTGGTCCCCTGCTGTTTAGTAACAAGTTGGTGGAATTACTGCAGTTCACATGCCAACAGCTTATTTGTTTAAAAAAAAAATAAAATCCTTATTTTAGTGAATGTCACTGCTGTATTACAATGTTAATCTTTGACAAATGTGTTCATAACAAATAAAAAGGCTCCTTGTAACGTGAGGGACTGTGCCACATACCATGCTAATGCCACTGAGGCTTCCTTAGAAAGAACTGCTGTGAATATTGAGGTGGAAAAGCAATTGCATGTTGTACATAGAGTTGTAAAGAGCCAATTCTACAAGCAGTGAGCTTCTAGTCTGTGGGACTGATTAATGGCGAGGTGAGCTGTTGGTAAAGGTTAGAGGTGGTGCCCCAACCTGGACAGGAGGTGGGAGCACAACTGGTGAAGATCTAAATCCATAAAAGCTGCAGGACTTGAAACTGTGAGGAGTGAAACAGGTGGGATGGGGGAGTGGCAATAAGTAGCAGAGTTCCTTCTAAGAGGAATGAAAATGTTTTCAGCCCCAAAGTTTGGATTTCCACTTTTCACAGGACACTTATTGGCTTTTTTGGGACTTATTTCCCCCTGCCAACTCACTAAAAAATAAATGGTGTGTACACCAAATGCAGCATGGTTTTCACAGCTCTCGAGTGATGATGTCTAGCTCAGGGCTGCTCCTCCGGCTCTGCTGCCCACACAGGTCCAGCCCCAGCTCTCTGCCCTGCTCCTCCCCTTGCCTGCCGAGGGGTGCCAGAGCGGGCACCTGCCGCCCGGAGCCCTTCTAATCCAGTTATCCCCTCCTGGCAGGCTTAGTGCCCGCCCGGCACAGCGCAGCCTGTGAGCAGGATGTGGCACGCTGGTTACTTCCCCTGTTGGCAAGTTCTGCCAAAGGCAGTGGGGACCGTTTTACCCTCAATGTAGGGCATGCTCCAAAACCCTAGGCAGGAACTAATTTCTGCAGCGGATTCAGAACTATATGTTTTAGTGTTAGGGCATTTGATGATTAAATTCTGCTCTCTGGTTCTGCAGCAGAGACCACAATCTTTTTCCCAGTCCAAGAGATGGATCTTGGTTCGTTTACTAAATTGGACATGGCTTTGTTTTCGGAGGCTTTCCCTCCTCTTGTAGACGGCAATTTAAAATGGTCAGGACTCCACACAGCTGCTGCGTGGAGTTCGTTTAGCTGACTAAAAAGGGTTTATTGTAGAATATTAGTAACAGAGACAGACTCTTTGTACTGTGTTTCAGAGACCTGAAAATTAATGTTCAGGGTTGCAACAGACCGAGACACAAAGTGGTGCCTCATCAGAACAGCGTGCCCAGTGCCAGCATCTGCACAGACCCCAGGGCAAGACCTCATCTTGTATCCAGGAGAGGCTGACACACTATTTCTCTGATGTTTATTGATCGTCCTTGTTCTTGTTATTAAGTGAACACCATCACTTCTTCCTGAGCCTTGTTATCATGGATTAATGGTGATCCGTTAGGTTTGTCAAGTCAGTGACCCTGACAGTGGAAGAAAGGAGTCATCCTGGTTTCTCTTCACACTGTGACTGAGCTGCATGATACAGAATCAGAAAAAGCTTCCTATTTATTTATGCTAATGAAAGTAGGTTATGTGGTTTAATTTAATGTGTTCCATATGTCATGCTCAGTATTAAGCCATCTGCACTGTGCTTTCTCTTCTAGGACTTGGGTTTGCACTCTGTTATTCTCCAGCCATCGCGATGGTGGGCAAATACTTCAACAAAAGAAAAGCGCTGGCGTATGGAATAGCCATGTCAGGAAGTGGAATCGGTACCTTCATCCTGGCCCCCGTGGTCCAGCTCTTAATCGAGCAGTTTTCCTGGCGTGGAGCTTTACTCATCCTGGGAGGTTTTGTTTTAAACCTCTGTGTCTGTGGCGCTTTGATGCGGCCTATTGCTCTTAAGGAGGACCGTAAAACTGCTCCTGAGTTTCTTGAACAGGATTATGTCTCTGAAGCACAGAAACGAGACTTAAAGCGAATGTCCATCTGTTCACCTTTAATCAAAGTGTGGTCTCATGAATATTTATGCTACTGTTCATGGAAGGAATATGACTTTTTATTGATGCCAGGCTTCATGATGCTGGCAGTGTCAGTTTTATTTATGGCATATGGCTGTAGCCCTCTCTTTGTCTACCTAGTGCCTTATGCTTTGAGTGTCGGAGTGAGTCATCACCAGGCTGCCTTCCTCATGTCCATACTCGGTGTCATAGACATCATTGGTAATATCACCTTTGGATGGCTAACAGACAGAAGGTAATGGCTTACAGCTAAGCAAGTGTAAGCTTTAGCTGGTGGGAAGCTGGATGCAAGTGAGGTGTAATACATATAAAAGTTAACATTAGGGACTTTTTCTGTAGGATGCGCAACTTTAAAAAAACAAACCACACAGTCTAACTTTCAGAAATGCTTACTATTTAATGTCTTTTGTCTCTTCTGAGTTTGCTCAATTTGGCTGGTTTAATTTCTTTTTTCCTGAAGAAATGATGTGTTTGTGCAAAGCTCTTGCATTTGACAGTGGAAATGTAACCCATTGCCTGAGGTATGTTGAGTATGATCCTCTATGTACCTATTTTCTAGAGGATTTCACTCCAGTTCCTCTGCCTTTCCATCTCTTTTGTGCTGCCAGGGAGGCACAGAAGTCATGGGAAAGGGTCAAGGGGCTGGCCCAACACTGTCAGGTATATACTCAGAAGAACTGACCTAAAATTGTTATACATTTTCCAGTATGTGAGAACTCACTATGTTTTACTAACTTGGCTCACTCCAAATATCTGTATGCAGCCTCTGTAACGTCAGTAGAGACTGGCTAAATTAAGAAGGTTTTTGATTCTAAAGGATGCGTTCTTTATGTATATTCAGTTTGTGGGAAAAATCAAATACTGGTTTTGTGGGGCAGGGAGAAAGGGAATTGCCATCTCACTTAGCTCACACTAACCCCAGTGTTTAAGGGCTGATGTGAAGGATGACAGCTGAGAGGTATACTGTAATATTTTTGCGTAATACTGGGAGCACCTCGCTGAGCTGGGATGTAAAGCCTGATGGAATCCTGCTTTGAACATTGAAACTTCAGAAGGCTGCAAAATCCTGGCTACGGAGCGGCTTCCCTCACTAGAGGCAGCGAGAAGAACACGGCAGGCAGCATGGGCTGCTGCTTACCAGATGTTTCTGCAGCTGTAGGTGGGCAGCTTTCCCTACCTCGGCTCGTCAGAGTTGAGCTTTACATCTTGAAGACTGTGTAAGAAAATTTGAGCTATATAAAAGAGGGAGAGAGACTGAAGTGCTGCGTGCCAGGGCATAGAAACTGAGATGCTACATCCAGTGATAATCTTTTCCTGTTTTGAAATCTGCAGGTGTCTGAAGAAGCACCGGCACTTTTGCTACCTCTTTGCTGTGGGAATGGATGGCCTCTGTTGTCTTTTCCTGCCAGTTCTCCAAAACTTCCCCTTGCTTGTGCCTTTCTCATTTACCTTTGGCTACTTCGATGGAGCCTATGTAACGCTGATCCCTGTCGTGACGGCAGATGTAGTGGGAACTTCTTCCTTATCATCAGCACTGGGTGTCGTGTATTTTCTGCATGCCATACCATATCTAGTTAGCCCGCCTGTTGCAGGTCAGTTCACAAATGACTTTTCTAGAATCTTATCATTACTCCGAATTTACCTATTGGTGTGATGTAAAAGGAGAGGAAGGACAGCAAATGCGCACTGAATGTGGAGGTAGCGCCTGGGCAGGGAAATAACACACTTAGACCTTCATAAGGCTCTAGATCCCACTTAAGCCCCATCTTGGTGGGATGATGTCTACGAATAAAGCGAGTTGAAATTTAAAAACCAAAACAGTATGGAATGGGAGCTGTTACATCACCACTTCATGTAGTTCAGAAATTGTGCAAGTAGAAGGAACAAAAGATTCACTCTGAAATTACACAATTTTGAAAACGTAACCTAAAGAGAGTTTCATTCCAAGGTTGGTTTTTGTGCGGAGGGCTTGATCTTTTCATCTCCAGACTGCTTTGAACAGGTGGGTGAGTCAGCTTTACCACTATTTGGTCACAGGCTCATCACTGTAATAGCTAACCATCATTTTCCCCATCAGTTCTATTAGAGTGAAGTAAGGATGAGAGCTGTACTCCTACTATTCTTTAGAAAGAACTCGATACAGATTTGAATGATGTGGAAGGACAGAGATCTTTTCTCAAATGGCCATGTATATATGTCTTGCTTATTTTGTCTGCTGTTCACATCAATTCCCAATTAATCTCTGCTTCTGAAGCTTTTAATTAAATTTTCCATAGCTAAAATATTGCAAAATGGAATTATTTGAAGTGCTGCCTCGGGCATAGCTCACTAGTTGTTTCTGTATGAGGATCTCATGCACACAGTATTTAATCCCAGGGCTCTTTAAGCATGTCTAAAGACTTCCAGTGAAATCCATGCAGTTCAAAGATGTTTATTTGGTATTGTGCTAATGACTGCTGTGCCTTTTATCATGGGTTTGACCTCTAAACAAAAGCCCATAAAAATCTTATCTACCTGCTGAGGACAAATCCCTCCCTGCCCCGGGAGGTAAAAGTATAGTGACGGCAATGTAAACCCATATTTATATGTAATAACGCCAGAAGTTTATAAAACTCCTGTTGATCACAGGATTTGTAAATTATCAGAATTTTGGTGAGCCTTTAAAAACCCATGATTTGTTTTCCTACAGGCTGGCTTGTGGACACAACTGGCAGCTATACTGCATCGTTCCTCTTGTGTGGATTTTCTATGATATTTAGTTCAACGTTACTGTGCTTTGCAAGACTAGCAAAGAAAATCAAAAGAACACATTTGCAGTCACTCAGCAATGATACTGGCACCAAACAGCACATCTGGACAAATGGAGCAATAGCTTATTCTGTCACAGCAGAATTAGACCAAAAGGATATTGAATTTTTGGCTGTGGATACAAACAGCTACAGCAACAGATGACAAGTGCTGTTCGGGATTCAGCACTGCACAGCCGTGACTGAGACGGAAGTGGCTTTGTAGTGTTACGCTGTTGAAGATACTACTCCTATGAAATAAGGCATCTCTCAATTAGATTTTTCTGTTGTGTTTTAGTTGGCTAAAATCTACGCACAGCAACAGCAATGTCAGGTTAATGCAGTAACAGAAGAAAGCCAGACTGAAAATAGAGTTTGTAGATACAAATGTTCACAGATTTATTTGAAAGGCAGTATGTCGATTGCGTAGGTAATCTCAAAGATGATAATTGGCTATAATCAAAAGAAAACGATAAAGTAATCAGTTACTAAAACTGAACAATAGAGTTTAAATTATTTAAAAAATGGTATTAATGAAATAAGCTTTTTGGTGTTCTGGTCTATTATGTTTCAATGGAATAATCACACACACCACCAAAAAACCTTCACAACTATCAGTCTGCGGTCTGCATTAAACTCTAACTTTCGAATGCCAAAGCCTTTTTTTTTTTTTTTTTAATCTGGCAGGAAACTCTGATTTATGATGAAAGACTCTCTGGAGCAGCTTTAATTTTTACAGTGTGCCTGAATTTTGTACATAAGTTGCAATTTTACGTCAAATATGGTTTTAGACCTACTTTCCCAAGCACCTTACAGCAAAATTTTGAGGTGGTTGCTGCTTTCTTTTTTCTCCTGGTTATCTTTAAAGCTTGAATTTCTAAACATTGACATTCCAGGTATGATCCTCCAGCTGATCTTTGTCTGGGAGGGTGGAAGAGGTGCTGGGGTTCCTCTACTATCTGAAGAGGAGTAAATCTGTGCCAGACTAGGCATGCTGATAGACAAACTTGCTTTAGCTGCATTAGTTGGAAGAAGCCCAAAGGTGGTCCAGGAGACCAGAGGAGAGGCTCATGTTATTCCAAATACAGAAGCCTCTTCCTCCTGTAAAATCAGCTGTAGAAAAAATTTAGAGTCCGTGCAAGCAGATGACTGAGAAACTGCTCAGTCCACAGGCTGTTAGTAAAGAGGAATGTTGGCAAAGTTGCTTCTGCTTATTCCAGTGGCAAGTCTGTCTCTTCTTAGAGCCAGGAGCTGCATCTTCAGATGATGCAAATTACTCGTTTGTGCCAACTGAAGAGCTTGTCCTGGATGGCCGGAACACAACAGCTGGGATTTGCCAATGGTTTCATGCTACTTGTGTGAGGAATATACTACAGCTGCCTGCTTCATGGGAACTATAGACTCAATGTAGTTCTATGGGGTAAAATTACTGATGTGATGATTTAATAAATAACGGGATGTTTCTACATTTCCAGAGTGAAACTGTGTCAGGGATGGAGGAACTTCACATTCTGCAATGCAAATCACTTCTGTGTTTTGATGCTGTATAAAGCTGCATTCTGTTCATTAGCAAATTGATCAGAGTCTAAAGAACTGTTATCGATGCTGAACTAGTAGTTTTGTTAATCATCTGCAGTGTATTCAGTGATTACTCATGGTGCCCTATTCCAGTCTGTGCCTCAGAAGGGAAAGCAAAATAGACTGATATTCACAAATTTGATTTAGATCAAGAGTACAGCCATAGTGGTATAATGCATTTTTTAATATATATTAATATTACGTATATCAAGTAGTTCTATTACTCATGCATATTTCAAATATAACATATTAAAATTGTTTGACTTCAGTTGTCTGCGCTCAAACAAAGCATTTCTCACTGCTCTGCTTCACAAGCGTGGTCAGAGCCAGTAGCATGACTTACATGCATAGACCACAGATTAAAAGATGGGAAAGCAAAACTGCTTAAAACTAATGCCATTGCCTTTTTTTCAGCTCTGCATGGCAATTGAGTCCTGGGCCCTAATTTTGATTTTTAACATATGGTCATAAAAAAAGACAAAAATTATCCATGCCTATTTCTTAATGAGTTAGGAAAAATATGCATATTTGGGAGGAAAAAAAAATTGGCTTTATTAATTAGTAGTGATGAAGATATTGTTTTAACTTTTAATGCTAAAAGTTTATATCAAAAAGTAGGGAATATGTGATCTACAAAGAAGATAAGCTATTCCAACAAGTTATAAATTACCACTGTCATTTACTTTAGAAAAATGTAATTAGTTTTTTTACACATCATGACACGTCAGCAGTTGTTCGTGCCAGAACTGCATATTATAAAAGCCTATTGGAATAATACTATATGCATTTTATCCTAGTAAACAATACTGTGTAATACATTATTAGCATTTTTGAATTTTCTTTATTTTGAGATATTTTTCATAGGCTTTTGTTTTGTGTTTAACTTACAATTAAGGCAGTATTTCTTGTTTTAAGTATCTAATTCAGCAGAAAACTTTCAACTGGTTTTATACACAGACCTTTTGTAGAAAATGATAGAATTATTTCAGGATTTTCTAACACTGTTTCTGCTCTGAATTAAGCCAATGGACAAAAGCTTATATACCAGAATGATGCTTTCTATTCATAAAACACATTGTGAAATATCAGCCTGTCATGAATCCCCCTTGCTCAAAAACAGAAGGAAGGAAGCATCACAAGAATTGACCTGCAAGTCGAAGAAATGGGAATACAATCCAGGTTCTCAAAGCCAAACTTTTACCCACTGGTCCACACAACCCAAACTGAACGCTCATCTTCATCCTGCCATGCGAAATGTTTCAGGCAGCACATTATTGAAGTCTCTGGATAATACCATTTAAAAAAATATATTTATGTATCTGCAACGGTTTTTTCAGAGATGATAATATTCAGGCTGCTCTCCACAGAGGATATTTTCCGGCAAGGCACGGTGCAGCAGTAAGCAGAGATACCTGGGCTAGCTGTGAACAATTTCCCCGGCTAACGCTGCATGTTCCTACCAGCTCTGTTGAGCACTGATGGATAAGAGCTTGGATGGAGCGCTGCACCGCTGAGCCTGTCTGGCTTCTCGGGACAGCGTAGTCTGACTTGGCTGGGGCAATGTCTGTCCAAGACAAAACCATATGGATCCTACCTCAGATGAATCCTGCCTGGGATAACACTCTATTCCGTGCAGTGAATGGGAATTCAGTGTGAGTGAAACAGCTTACAACTGCCGAAGTTATCCCATCTGTTTCCATTCCATAAGGTTTGAAATGGGGGAAATACTAATTCTTTTGAAATTACTTATGTCCTAGTGAGAATTTCTATCAGATCAGCTCTGGAACATTTAACAAATTGTACCTTGAAAAATTGTGTGAAACAGCATTGGAGAAGTAAAGTACCTTCTGTAGAAAAATAACTGTTGTTTTCAGGAAAAAAAGAGAAAATGTTGAGCCTGAAACATTTCTGCATGCTTAGATGATAATTTATCTCCTGAAAAACAAAAGTTGTGTGTGCTACTATATGGTGAATATATTTTATGTTGCCACAACAATTCCTTATTTGCTTTCTGAAGTGTTACAAATTTATGTGAGAAAGAAGACCTTAAGTTAAGCTGTAACAGTACTTCACGGTCAGCATAACAAAGTCCTTAGTTGAGATCGCCTCAATAAATAGTACTTTCTTCTAAGTGACTATTCTGGTGTATTCCAGTAGAGTTTTCTGTATAATTTAGAAGGTGCTTTTGATTCATAAATGAATACTTCCTGAAGGGTCATCTTCACTCCTTTTTTCCACTGCGCCGTTAGTGTAGGCCCCAGTGATGTGTTCATACTGGGGAGCAAACTGAGCGGGGTCCAGCTTCTGTGTGGTTCTGGTTTTGTCTGTTACGTGCTGCAAAATGCGCGTTTTGTTTTGCTCAGGCTCAGGCTCTTCCCTGCGCCGCCACGCCAGGCAATGCAGCAGCACCACCCTGTGGGAAATAACATTTCTCCTCATTTACAAGACTAGGCAAGAACTGGAAGGCAGTGTTTGCACACAGCGTCCCCGGGTAGTACTGCGGTCCAGTGCAATCCTCCACAGCCCGAAGAAGGTAAAGCACGGTGAATAGATGTCTTGCATCACTACGCCTCACAGTGAATTTCTTTGCTGTGGTGAAGATTGACCTGCTCTGACTCTTCATAAAAGTTCAGGCTCACGTTTTTTCTCAAAATCCTTTACTGCTGCTCCTTATTTCTCTAAGATCCATTTTCCACGAGAGAGGCAGGAGAGGCCCTGGTGGCAGGGTGTGTCACCATGGCTTCCTGACTTCAAGCCTAATGTGGTTCCTTTTAGGAGTGGTGTGTCAGTCCTGCTCGCAGCC